ACAAAGGTACTGAGTATTTACTTAAGGTTGGTTGGTTGGAGGTTGGGGCTTGCATGGCTGAGGCAAAGGGTATGAGCATGGAGATTGGTAGGAGTTGACTCCGTGTAGTGTATGGACTTCTGCTTGACTCTTTGATGTGATTGCAGGTATGTTCTGTGACTGGGATTATTGGATTGGACTGCCCTGCGATCTTATATATGTGCATGAGGAGACCCACTGTGATTGTGAGATGTGATCGTCACACGTTTATTCCCATGTGTGTTTATATGTGCATAATGCGTACCTATGTGGGATACTTGCGTGGCCTGAAGAACCCGCATATTGAGGGCTTAATTGGGAATAGGGGGCTAGCAGAAGAGGAATGACCCCTCTATTTATATATACGCTTCTAGGAAATTATGATCAGACGTTAGCCCTGAGCCTAGAATACGAAGGTCCTCGCCCAAGACGACCCAGGTCCCAGGACTAGCTCTGAAAAGGTCCACTTCCGATAAAAGTCGAAGGTACTTTCCTTGTTGGGATTTGTTTTGGTGGAACGATAAAGTTYCGGGCGGAAGGGTCAGCGTGTCGTTGGTGATACGCCAGACAACTGACCACCGCTCCAAATCCCTTCCTGCCCTAGGGACCGTCTTACCCCGCACCCTTTGGGATACCTCAGGGTGCAGAAGGTGGTAAAGCCCTCAGGCCGGTTTTGCGCCCGCTAAAGGGTTACCCCCCCCCGTAGCGCGCACTTCAGCCGACGCCTGAGCATCGGAAACAACCACATGGCTCAGTATAAGCCATTTGGGTATGGGCACCACATAATGCGCCGTCATCGCAGTTACTCACGTAGAGCTGGTATGCGTAGATCCTACGTTCGAGCGATCTTATACTAAACCTCGCGTACGGCAGTTACCGACTTCCACTGCGCAAAGTCATGGGTTGGATACTAAGGGGCTAGGAGTGTGTCGCGTTATACGTCCTTTGCATGGTTCAGTACTTGTGTGCATGTGTGGGTGTGCTTTACTTTTATGTACCTTATAGTGGTGTGCGCGTGGCGTGTGGGATACGTCCTAGTCGACCGGCAACGAGCCGCGCTTGGGACCTCAGCCCCCCYAGATGTCGGTTCGCGCGCGGGTCCGATAGAGGCGTAGTACCGCGCGTACCCCTTATGCTACAGCGAACGAGAAACGCCCTCGGCTGGTCCACCTCTGCGATTGCAACTGATCAGCTTTCGTATTGTGGACTGGTAGCTCGGCGGGGATACGCCCACCGAAGGGAGGTGACATCTCCCGTAAGGTGGAGGTAGTCGTGCCTCGCGTAGGCCCTGTCCTGTCGTAGGGGCTCACGAGAGGTATGGCTGGCGCACCCGGCTGGAGCGGCTTATGGAGGCCTCCGTGTGTGTACCACAACAGGATGTGTACTCTGACTCCTGCATGACGCGGCCGGGAAGGTCCTGCGCTACCTCTGAGTGGTGCCGGGCCGATGCGCTCGACAGGTGGCGCTGTTGTCGGGGATGACGGTTGCCTGCCGTTATCCCTGGTGGAACGACATCTGGGCACTAGGATAAGGAAGAAATCAGGCGTGAATGAGAGATTTGAAGTGAGTCTATAAGTAGGACTATAGGAGGGATTGTATGACTATAGCAGCTATGTGGGATAACTCACAGCTTAGGTAGACCTTGTGAATGAAGGAAAAGGACGTGGGTGTCAGTTAAAGTCTGAAACGCCCAAGGGCGAAATGGTTATCTCGATAGGCTTATGYTGGAATGAGAGTGCTGAATAACGTTGCCTTTGTACCTCGTCTTACTATAGGGAAGTTAAGTGAAGGGCAGGCTGCTAAAATGACAGGCGACATAGGCGACAGTTCAGGCAAGGTCCTGACTCTCGATGATCTCATCGAGGCGATGGACAAGCGGGAGCGAACGCCAAGAAGTGTCCCCAAGGTTGACACCTTCCACTTCAATGGGGAATGAGTTGCTGAGTGGCTGGACCTAGTGGAGCAGGCCTTGGTGGGAGTACCGGACGAGACGAAATTTAAACGCATCCTGCAGTATGTGCTCCATAAACACCATCCGAAAGTGCAGAAGGTGGTCGACGACGCTAACGGCGACTGGGCTAAATTTAAGGAAGGAATGCAGAGGAAGTATAGGTTGGGGGATGGCCTACTGACTATGGCGGACCTAGAGGCAATTGATAGGGACGACTTCACCACCATTGGGGCATTCCTGCAAGAATTCAAAAAGAAGGCGAGAAAGGTACATGGGATATCGGATGAGGCGTAGTGCACCGCCTTCCTGGGACCGCTCACCGCATCTGAGACAGTTGAGCTAACAAGCCATGGGGGAGGAAATGCCAAACTTACCTGGGCCACCATTGACAGAGGGGTGGAGGTTGGAGGCCTCGACCAGGTCGAGCAGCACCAGGTGAGGCTGTAGAGGCAGAAACGGAAGGACAGGGATGCGGCTGGATCGCTAGGAGTAAAGAAGATCATAACCGACATATTAGCAGGGCTAGACCCGGTGATACAGCGGAAGGTGACGGCGGCAGTCCAGGAAAAAGGCAAGGGGGCCGTGGTAGAGGAGGCTACCCAGGAAGGATGGGAAGAGGAGGAGCCGGTACCTCCACACCTTATGAAGGCGCAGCGTAAGCAGCGCAATCTAGCACAAGGCGGACAAGGGTCAGGAAAGGGCCAGGCGCCTCAAGTAGTGGTAGCAGCATCTCCGAGTTCGTCCGGGCCATCAAGTAGTGCGGGCCCATCGCAAGCATCAGTGCCACCATTTGGGCATTGGTCGTGGCCCCTAATTAATACCTGTGTACCCTGGGGTGGCCCAGCGCCGTCTGGACAGGTAATACCCTATGTTGGGCCCCAGGCAAGTATGCCACCTCCGAGCTACCCCGCCGCCCAGACTCAGCCAGCGGTACCACCGACGCCAACGCCCACACAAAGTTCACAAGGCAGTGTGACGGGTGGTGGTAACCAAGGCCAAGGAAACCAAGGGAATGGAGGAAGGGGCARTGGGCGAGGATGTGGCAGGAATGGAGGTGGCCGAGGAGGCCAATAGGGCAACCAAGGTGGCCAAGGCAATCCAGGCGGCCAAGGCAACCAAGGGGGCCAAGGTGGTGGAAGGGCCCGATTTGATTGGAGGACTGCCATATGTCAGCACTGTGACCAGCAAGGTCATACTATTAGGTTTTGCAACATACGGAGAGAGGACGAGAAAAATGGACTGATTTATTCTAATATGGATGGGGACATTTACGACCATTCGGAGATTTTATTGATAGGAAGGCTGGTGGAGTTAGGGCGGAGGCTCAACGAAGGTTGGCAGCACGGCAGCCACCCCCTGCTACAATCAGGCTATGGCAGGAGAAGGAAGAGCTGCCAATTGGAGTTCAGGAAGTAGGAGGCGACGAGGAAGTAACCCAGAGGCTACAGGCCGGGGATGTTAGAGAGACACCCATAATCATCGAGTCGGACGATGAGGGTGACGATGAAAAGGTAGAGTCGGCGGTAGTCCTGCTGAGTAAGATGGAGGACTTATTGGACAAGGTAGGGAGATACCAACGGAAGTTGGTAGACCTCTGCGAGGGAGTGAAGGAATGGAGGGCTAACCTCCCCAAGGTCTTCCTTTATGACTCTGGTCCGGAATCCATGTCGGGGCGGCCCGGAGTGACCACTGTGGGGACGGGCCCGCGATCAGGGAAGATGACTAGGCCCCCTACCCCGCAAGCTAGGTTGGCTCACGCAACCTGCACTCGAAGCCAAGCCAAGGCAGGTGCAAGTCAGGGACCTCCTCGGAAGGAACTAGAACCAGAAAAGAGGAAGGAAACTGTAGTGGTAGAGGATGGTGATGATGATGAAGGGGAAGATGACCGGTTACGTCAAGAGGAAGATCAAAGGGCCGAACAGCGAGCCAAAAAAAGAGGAAGCCAGGAAGAAGTGGAACCCGTCATGCGAACGTGCCACCAAAGAGAAAGTAGTATGCGGTCCGGCTAGAGGAGGGGTTTGATGTAGAGCGAGTGATTGACAGGCTGCTTGAGGGCTATAATAATCTAATGACCCTCAAGGAGATCCTGGCATCTGCGCCTAGACTCCGCAACGAGTTGAAGGGTAGGCTGTCAAGGCGATGGGTGCCGAACGTCCACCTCAGCGTGATCCTACCAAAGGAGATGGAGTGGGTGGAGCCAGGGACAAAAATGRATTGGAAGTGTGTAGCTTGCGGCGTAGTGGATCTAGCGGTAAAGGGCTCCAAGTGCACGACCATGATAGATACGGGTGCCGAAATGAACATTATCCGGGAGGCCGACGCCGTTAGATTTGGACTGGAGATAGACCGCTCGGACTGCGGTATCCTGCACGGGGCCAACAACAAGGCTGTGTTTTGTGGAACAACCTCGAATGTGCTACTGGAGATTGGCAGGGTGAAGGCKCGGTCCTGTTTCTTTGTGATGCCTGATGTGGACCACAGTATCCTCCTGGGAGGTCCTTCCTATGCAGGACAGAGACCTTGATGTATAATAAGCATGATGGGTTATTGATCCTGATTTTATGTGATCCAACATGAAGGAATTACGAAGTGGTTACTTGCCGGAACACTTGGCCAAGGAGTCTCAGGAACAGGCCCAACCCTGACTCGTTCACGATTGAGGAGTCAGAAGACGCGCATCGGAGGCTTAGGGCAAAGCCCGAGGAGGAAGTAGAAGGTGAAGCCTTCTCGCTCAACCTGTCGGATGTGGGAAAGGTCGTGGATATAGTGGCCACGCACGAGATGGTCAATCCGGATGCCATTCAGGCGTTGAGGGAGCAGGTTCTGGGGTATCCTAAGATAGGGAAAATGGAGTTGGTCTACCGGCTTCCTAAGGGGGGAACGGATCCGGCGGTGGCGCAGGCACAGGCACGAGCGGCAAGTCAGCCTTTTTTAGGGGCCGGCTCAAGCAGGGTGTCCAAAGGCGGTACAAAACGATAGACAAAAAGTGTCGCCCAGTTCCCGTTCTGGTTACCGAGGACGATGAGGTGTACTACGAACGAGAGCGAGCGTTGATACGGCGGATGAGGGAAAGCGCGTCAGAATGGCCATGCCGTATCAATGAGGAGAACGAAGGGAAGTTGATAGTGGGAGAACCGGACTTCCTTCTACCTCGGGAAAGAGCCCTGATGGTGGAGCTGATGAACAAAAGACATCGCGCCTATGCGTTCAGCGACGAGGAGCGTGGCAGGTTGGATGTGGACAAGATTCCAATGATCCGCATCCATACCGTGTCGCACGAGCCATGGAATCTAAGAGAGGCGCGATACCCGGATCCGGACAAAGAGAAGAAGGTAGTGGACTACCTCGATGGCAAAATACGTACGCACGTCACCGACTACTCGAGTGGATCCTACGCATCCTCGTGGTTTTGTTTTATTAAGCCCAATGGGACACTAAGGTGGGTACAGGACTTGCAGAGACTGAATGCGGTGACAGTGCGGGATGCAGGTGGGCTACCAAATGTTGATGCGCTGTCGGAATCGTGCGCTGGGAGACCGATAATTTCACTTATTGACCTCTATTCCGGAKATGACMAATTTTCGGTCTACCCGCCGGACCGACCAGTGRCAGCTATGCACACGCCTCGAGGGCTTATCCACATGAATGTGGCTCCGCAAGGGTGGACGAATGCGGTGGCAATAGTCCTGAGGAATATGATCCGGGTCATGCAGACAGTTAGTCCACACATCACGCAGCCATACATCGATGACCTGGCAGTGAAAGGGCCGCGAAAAAGGGAAGACAATGAGGTCCTGCCTGGAGTAAGGCGGTTTGTTTGGAGGCACGTTCAGGACCTTGATAAAGTCTTGGGCTTGCTTGAGGAGTACAACCTTACGGCTAGTGGGCCTAAGTCTAAGCACTGTATGAGGGAAGCGACTATCTTGGGGTTCGTCTGTAATGAGAACGGCCGGCGACTGGATGTTAAGAAGACGGATAAGATAGTTGAGTGGCAGGTGCCATTCCGTTCTGTAACAGATGTAAGGAGCTTCCTAGGTACGTGTGGGTTTTGGAGGTCCTTCGTCAAGAACTTTGAGGCAAAAACATAGCAATTAAGGAAGCTGGTCCGGCAGGATCAGGAGTGGACCTGGGGTGAGGATCAGGCCAACATGAAAGAGGAGTTATGGGAAGGAGGATTGGTGCTGGGAGCGCCCGATTATGACGCTACGGAGACGAGACCATTCATTGTGGAGACCGATGCAGGACCGACGGCCTTGGGTGGAGTTCTAATCCAAGC